ATTTGATAGAACTATTATGACTCCAAGCCTTCATTCAGTGGCCTTATGTATTAGGTGTCCTATGGGACCCAGTGATACATTCTCCTTGATCTCCTGAGCTGGTTGCTCTAGGAATGTCACGTGTGTGGTTCATGTGGGCCTTTCTGTTGTAATTTGCTTTTGGTTACTTTTGGTCCATTTATTGGTGGGATCAACCTTCAGACTGGCTGACAGACTCAACCCCGATCATAGCATGCAAGGTGCTGTGCAGGTGTGTCTTGATGTGTCTTGTTTTACTCATTGGCACAATCTTTCAAATCACTTGAGTTCCATGTTCCTAGAATGTTCTTGTGGGTTCTGTGCACCCCCAGTTATAGTTGTGTCTTGAATGCTGTTGACTCTTTTATGGGTCGAGTTAACCATTCAGGATGGGTGGCTGTAAGAGTAAACCTTGCTCATTGTGTATGAAACACTGTGCAGGGCTTTCCCCATTACAAAGTTGTTCCCAGCAGGGTTTAGTGCCTGCCAGAATCTTCCTTTGTGTGTGTCATTTGTGTGGATAGTTGTGTCTGGTGTAGTCTGAAGCTCATCACTGGTTGTATTGGTTCTTGGTCAATTTGGGTGGCATTCAGGTACAGGTTGCTGTCACACTTTGTGTATAACCAGTTTTGGCCTATCTGTCTGTAGCTGCCATGCTGTTCACTGTTTGCATCTACTGGACCTGAATGTGCATTGGAAGGATCAATCAGTATAAAAGGATCAGCTTCTTCCAGTATGGAACTGAGAGAAGATCTGTAAAAGGAATGAGATTTCCCGAGGTCCACCTCCACCTGAGAACTACTCTAACTACTATAAGGGCTGCCTGGTCTTCCTCCAGAGCTTTCTGAAGAGAACTGTTAGATGAGCCCATCCTAATTGAAATAGGGTTTTAGGGCCCCCTACTTGGTGATCATACAGTTAGAAACTCAATGTGCAAAAAGTGGCCCCTGCTTCAAAGCCAAACCCTTCCATCTCTACCAGTGTCTCCAACTCTAGTTCTCCCTAGGGGGGCTCAGTGCAGGTCAGTTTGGGTACAGCTAGCTGTCCCCTCTTCAGGAGCAAGCTCAGTTGCCCTGGGCTCAGGGCCATAAATCAAAAGAGTCTCCCATTGCTCATGATGCCAGCCCTGTCCACAGGAGGGGGCTAAGCATTTTGTTCTGGTCTTTGACAATAGCCTCTGATGATCTCATACTTTGAATGTCCCCTCTCTAAGCTGCTCTTCCCCCCCACCCCCAACCCCATGGAACTGTTCCCATTGCGGGTATCTGGGACTTGTCAGGGCTGATCCAAACAGTCTCCTGTTGGGGGTGGTGCCAGCAAATGTAGTTACACAGCCTAGCACTTGCCCCTTGCCCATCTGGTTCCCATACAGAAGTTTCCTTGGGAGACACGGTACAAAAATCACAGCTCTATGTGGCTCCCTGGCCCCTCTGTGCCACCAAACTTGGCAGGATGGGGCCAAAGGTCAGCTGTGTGGAGCTCTGATCTCTCCATGCGACTGCTCTCAGAAGAGCAGAGCCCAAAGTCCCAGGAGCTCTGCATGGGTTCCAAACTCATCAGGACAGGTTCCCTGCACCGCCAAACAGGGCAAGGCAGGCTGAGCAACTCAATAGGTGAAGGGGCAGGCACCAGTTAGTGCTCATAAGTGGGAGCACTTCTCTCCCTGTTCACACAGTTTACTCACCTATGTCTCTTCCAAAAGCCTCCCCCCAAAATAGAGAGCCTCTTTAAGTCACTGCTGGGTGTGACCAGCAGACCCCTTTGTAGGACCTGAGTGTCACAGCATGGCATCACCAGCAGTTGGAGTCCGTTTGGAGCAAACACCCCAGGCTGGTGCTGAACCTTTAGGAGTGTGCTTTCTCTAAGAGGGTGTGATCTGAATCTCCCAGGCAGTCTAAATCCTCACTGATTCCTGTGCAGGCTTCTCTTCCCAGTCATGTTGCTCTGGATTGGGAATCCCTATGTGGGGTTGAGACCCTAGCTCCTATGGGGAGGAAGTTCCACAGTCACAATATCCTTCTGGCTTCTCAGCCATGGTCACACCTTCTTACCAGGCCTCTATGTGGCTTCTGTGCTCCTTGGTTATAATATTTCAGATCAGCTAGCCTTCAATTGGTTTTTCAGGTTGATTGCTCTGTAATGTAGCTCTGCAGCCATCTTGAAATACTTTTTATGTCCTTAAAAATTAATCATTACTGTTTTTATTATCTTTTCAGTCAATGTTTATTTGTATTCACCCACATGTTTACAGAAGTTTTTATTCATCATTGCTTCTTACATTCTATTTCTTCTAAGTTTAGTTTTCTTTCTTTAAACTTACTTTCTTTGACCTGTCAGTTTATTTTCTCAGTCTCTTCTGCAAATGGCTTTATTTTACTCTCATTCTTGAATATTAGTTTAGCTGAATATAGAATTCAAGATTCAGGATTTTTCCCTATTATAATTTTAAACGTAATTGTCTTATCGAGAAGTCTGTTCTCATTGTAATTGTAATTCTGTATAAGTCTGTCCTGTCATTGGTTCCTTTTATGGTATTCTCTTTTTCTTTGTGTGTAGTCTCACTATTATATATCTAGGTATGGATTCTTTTTGGGAGGAATGTCTTGGTTATGTTGCACTATTTCAGTTAGAGTATCCATGCCTTTTATGAATCTGGAAAATACTCAGGTGTTATTTCTTTGAATATTACTGCTCCACATTTACTCTACTGTTTCTTTTAACTTTTAAAATACACTTTTGAATCTTCTAGCCCAAATGTTTATTAATATTTTATCATAGTTACCATTTGTTTATCTCTCTGTTCTGTGATCTTTTAGTTTGTTCTTCCCTCGCAAACTATATTCGTCTGTACTTTGATGCATTCATTAATTTTTCATTTATTTTTTCTTTCTAGAAGTCCTACTTGATTCTTTTTCACATGTGTCTTATTAATTTTTCTTTAATGTCTTTACAACTTTTAAGCATATTTTCCTATGCCTTCTAAAATATTTTGTTCAATAATTTGAAGTTCTAGAACTCTGATCCTGCTATGTGCTATGTTACTCTGACTCTCACTATTTGACTGTAATCTCTTTAAAAAGAATGTTGTTTCTTCTATAGACTCCTATATGGCCAGGGATTTGGGTGGGCTTCTACAAAGGGACAAACTTTATGTTGAAGTTTAGAATTTGGATGGGTAGTGTAAAGTCTAACTTTAAAATTGAGTGAACTCAGACCTAAGATTTCAGTTTCTTACAGAAGACATTTTTCTCCGTATCCAGAGAATAGGTCAAGATAAATTTTTGTTTGTATCTAGGTGAGGTTGAGTGTATTTTTTCCCCCTCAGAGCCTCCTCTAAAGGGCCCCAAATTATGTACAGGTCTCAGTTCCAACTCTCCATTAATTCTATATCTTGTCTCCTATCCTTGCTTGAATGTTGAAATATAAGTCATTCACTGTTAGTGGCTCTTTCAACCCCCAACTCTTAGCTTTAGGCTTTCATTTGCTTCCTGCTCTGGCTTTGTTTTCTCTTTGTTTTCGGCATGTGAGAATTTTTCTTTCTTCCTTAAAAGTTTATCTATGAATTACATATATTCATTTGGTTATTTGACTGATGTATGATTCCCCCATAGTCTGAAAGTTTTGTCAGAGCAGAGACCATTTTGCTTACCATTGGATATGCATTTAAGCACATTGACTGGAGGTGATTGAAAGAATGAGTGAGGCCCTAACCGGTTTGGCTCGCTGGATAGAGTGCTGGCCTGCAGCTGGAAGGGTCCCAGGTTCGATTGATTCTGGTTGCAGGCTCCTCCCCAACCCAGACCCTGGTCAGGGCTCCTGCAAGAGGCAACCAATCGATGTGTTTCTTTCACATTGATATTTCTCTTTGTCTTTTTCTCTCTCTTTCACTCTCTCTAAAAATCAATGGAAAAATATCCTTGGTGAGGATTAAAAAATAATACTACTTAAAAAAAAAGAATGAGTGAGAAATACAGTGAGTGAGAAGGAAGGGAGGGAGAAAGGTAGAAGAGAATTGTGACCAAATAATTTTTTCCAGGAGCAATATTTTAGTGCTTTGTACTTTTAAAAGGAGTTGTAAAAGTAGAAAAGTGTCTTTATTTGCCTCTCAGTTCTGTTATCTTCACATAATAGCAAATGCTTCTTTGTAGATGGTAGCGTATTTAAGACATTTTTTTTCTGAAAAAGGAGGGATTATCTTGAATGTTTGAAAGCGTTTATATAACTTGAATCTCATTTATACAACTTGAATACCATTTTTAAAACATACCCTTATTTCTCATAATGTGGATTTATTCTTAATTTATACTTGCCCAGAGTCTTTTTCCCTAAGGTATTAGTAAGTGCTAGAGAGTTATCAATCCTCATTTTATTATATTACTAGAGGTCCAATGCATGAAATTCATGCACTGGTAGGGTCCCTAGCAGCTGCTGGCTGCCGGCCAGAGTCTCCCTCCCTCCCCTGCCCAGCCCTGCCCCCTGGTCAAGCTCCCGGATGAACTCCTGGTCAAGGGGACAATTTGCATACGTACACTTTTATTATATAGGATGATCAATATCAACATATATTTTAAGAATTGGAAAATGAGTATTATGAGTGAAATAGTAGCTGTTTCATTTGTCACTTTATTGTTAAAGACAACAATAATATTTATATTATAGAATAATAGAAACTGAGGCAAACAGACAGAACTATAGACCAAACATGTATATATCTCAACCAGCTTTGGGGCTGAGACTTTTAAGTGGGAAAAGTTGTTTTCCAAATATGTTGACCACCTTACTCATGGGCTTTGTGTATAGAAACTTGAAACCCAAATGTGTGTGTCATAGTGTTTTGTACATATGTTACTACCTATAGCATCTAAAGTTCCTTATAATGTAAGTGTACTATCATTACTAGTAAAAGATTTGCCCCATTTTGTGCTCTATGTTGTAGTTTTTTTTCCAAGTTAAAAACTATAATAATAATTTTGTCTTTGTAGCACTTAAATGCAGAAAGGTCTTACAAGGCCCAGATTTGTACCTTGCATAAATCTCTTGTGAAGATGGAAGAGGAGCTTCAGAAGGTTCAGTTTGAAAAGGTGTCTGCCCTTGCAGACTTGTCTTCCACAAGGGAACTTTGTATTAAACTTGACTCAAGCAAGGAACTTATTAATAGGCAGCTGATTGCTAAAGATCAAGAAATTGAAATGGTATGTAATGCATTTAAAATGTTTTATTTTTTCATATTTCTAGTATATAAAATTACTACAGGATTAGAAAAAAGTTGTGTTTAATATTACATCAAGCCTGTCTCTCACCTTTAGATTTCTTTTTTAAGTCCCAGAGATTAATTTGACAGCTATATTCCAACAATTCAAGTAAGTAACATAACTCTTCCTCTGAGCATTTAATTTATATTTACTTTTGTCTAGGTCCTAGGAGAATTATAAAACATCTTTACATGCCAATCAGTAAAGAACCATGAGGTTGAGGTCCATCCAGCTAAATTATAACTTTAATGACATTCTTTTAGCTAAATTTATTTACTAATTGGGTTCTTTTAAACTGTAACTCAGTTGATTATATCTACCGTGTGCCTGACATTGTGTTTGCCACTGTGACTATAATGTTCAAAAGATACAAGCTGATGCTCTCACAGACCTTTCAGTATTGGCATTGGGATGAATGTTCTAATAAGAAATACGATTTAGAGAGGGAGATCCTATTCAGCCTGTGGGTGTCGGGAGGGAGTGGACATACTAATGAGCACAGAAGAGATGAGGTGTTTCATTCAGAGGGAACAACAACATAGGGAATGAATGGAGGTAAAAGCTATTTCTTGCGTGAATAGTAAGTAATTTTCAATGGCCAGTGTAGCATGCATGGGTGAAAATGGCTGGAGATGCATCTAGAGAGAGAGATGGAACTCAGATCCTAAAGTATATGTATACAAGTTGCATAGTGTAACTGAAGAATTAACAAATTTGACCTTCAGGGTGGGGGTCCCCACTGGGTGCCTGGCCAGTCTGGGTGAGGGGGTGAGGGTCATTTTTAGGCTGGCGGGTGACTGAAGCTCCCAACCTCTCCTTTTTTTTCCTTTTTCTTTTTTTATTCTGGGATTTATTTACCTTCTATAGCTGTCACTGGAGCTGAGAGCTGGCTTTAGCTCTGAGGCCCAGCTCCAGCTCTGAGACCTCAGCTGCTGAAAGCAGGTATCTGCAGTTTGTTTAGCTTCTATAATTGAAACACTGTTGCGGTCCTGCTTGCTGAGGCCCAGCTAGCTGAAAGCAGGTATCTGGGGTTTGTTTAGCTTCTATAATTGCAACATTGTTACTTAGAGTGCAGCTCAGAGCCCAGCCACGGCAGGCAGGGAATCTTGGCTTCCTCCATCACTGGAGCAAGCAAGCCTCCTGTGCGCTTCAGCTGCATGGCTGCCAGCCGCCATCTTGGTTGGCAGTTAATTTGCATATCGCCCTGATTAGCCAATGGGAAGCATATCGGAGGTACAGTTAATTACCCTATTTGTCTTTTATTAGATAGGATAATAACCCAACTGAAAAGAGCAAAACATCTTGAGACATTTCTTTATAGAAGATATGTAAATGGCCAATAAGTTCATGAAAAGCTGCTCAACATCATTAATTGTCCGAGAAATGCAAATCAAAACAATACTATTTCACAAGCTCTGGAGTGGCTACAATGAAAAAAACATAACGACAGACAGTAATAGATGTTGGCAAAGATCTAGAGATTTTGGAACCTTCATACATTGTTAGTGGGAATGTAAAATAAAGAGACCATTTTGGCAATTCTTTAAAATGTTAAAAATAGAATTACCATAGAGCCCAGACATTCCACTCCTATTTATTGAAAAGGATTGAAAACATAGGTATGTGCAAAAACTTGTACATAAATGTTCTTAGAGCATTATAACTAGAGGCATGGTGCACAAAATTCACGCACTGGGGGCGGGGACTCAGCCTGTCCTGTGCCCTCTCATGGTCCAGGAGCCCTCGGAGGATGTCCAACAGGGGGCAGCTCCTGCGTTGAGTATCTTCCCCCTGGTGGTCAGTCACGTCATAGCAACCAGTCATTCTGCCATTGGGCAGAAACTGGCTCTCCAGCATTCCCTGAGGGGTTCCAGATTGCAAGAGGGCGCAGGCCAGGTCGAGGACCCCATCAGTGCATAATCAGGACTGGGGAGGGACCGCAGGAGGGCTCCACGGGATGTCCAACCCGTGTCACTCAGTCCTGATCAGCCTGACCCCAGCAGCAAGCTAACCTACCAGTCAGAGCGTCTGCCCAATGGTGGTCAGTGCACACCATAGCAAGTGATTGAGTGGCCTTAGCATATCACTAGAATATTATGCTTTGATTGGTTGAATGGCTGACCAGAGGACCAGACACTTAGCATATTAGGCTCTTTTTATGTAGGATAGCCAGAAGTAAATAACTCAAGTGTCCCTACATCTATGCAAGGAAATATTATTTGGCAATAAGTGTAGTAAAGAAATACACCTTCTAAAACATGGATGACTCTTGAAAACATTAGGTTAAGTGAAGGAAACCAGTCACAATAGACCACACACACATTGTATTATTCCATTTGTATGAAATGTCCAGAATAAGACAGATCATAGAAACAGAAAGTAGATTAGGGATTGTTTCAGGCAGATGCTGGGACGGTGGACAGTAGGTGTTTGGGGAGACTGCTAATGGGTACTTGATTTTATTTGTGGATGATGAAAAATTCTAACACTAAAGTGTGCAATCTAATCTAATAAAAGACAAACATGCAAATTGATCATACCTTTGGTACACCTTAAGCCATGCCCACCAGACAACCAGAGTGACTATATGCAAATTAACCCAACCAAGATGGTGGCCGGCAGCCACGGAGCTGGAGCGAGAAGGAGGCTTGGTTGCTCCAATGATGGAGGAAACCAAGCTTCCCGCCTGCCACAGCTGGCTCTGAGCTCCACTCAAGGCAACAAAGTTTCAATTATAGAAGATAAATAAACCCCAGATACCTGCTTTCAGCTGGCCATGGCCACAGAGCTGGAGCGAGCAGGAGGCTTG